TTAAAAAGGGCATGGAAGTTTCTCTTTTTTTGTATCGAAAAATATCAAACCATGAAACTAAAGTACCGAACTGAACCGAATTGTACCGTATCGTTGCACCCCTTACTAACCAGCCGACCCAAATATGGCTACAACTCAGCTAGTTTAACAGACGTTTAGGTGAAACTTGGTGTGGTAGTAGCTGAGAGTCATTCATAATGCATATTTTGAGAATATTAAGGTCACATAAAGGTATTTTTAGGCTTTAAATCTCACGCAGGAGAGAGCTCCCATCTCTGTTTCTCGCTCTCTCGTGGCAGAGCGGCAGAGAAGCAACAGGTAAGAGCTGGGAAAATTTGGATTAGATCAGGTGAAAGGGGACGACCTTCATGGTGAAGGTGTGGTCTCCGTCAGTCGCAGCTGTGGGAATCAGGAGGAGGAGCTGGGCTGTCCTCGACCAGGAGCAGCAGGCCGGGAGGGAGGCAGGAGGAGAGGAAGAGGAGCCACACACACCTGACAGCGTTCTAACAGATAAAGGTTCGCTGCAACCCGCTCAACAAGCTGAAAACCCAACAGCATGTGCTTTTTTGTTGTTTTTTGTTTTGTTTTTTGTTTTTTTGACAGACACTGACGGCGAGCTGCGCGTAACGGAGCGTTGCTCATCCATTCAGTTCRTTTTAATTACCTGTGTGTGATTTAATCCGTCACACGTCTCGGCCCGTTCCTCTTTAACGACGTGCTCCATTCGCACCCTGACGACGCTCGCTCTGATCGTCCTGGTTTTTTGCCGCCTCACGTTTTGTACAGAAACGATGCAGAGAGATTTATGATCCTCAGTCAGCCAAAAAAGGCGAGCGATGACGTTCCTGTTCGTTTCTCCGTTTGGTCGTCTGTTAGCAAAATATCTCACAAACCACTGGACGGATTTGGATGAAACCCTCAGAAGGTATTCCCAGGATGCGCACGCACAAACGATTAGCTTTTGGAGTCAACTCAGTTCAAGATGGCCATCACAGTTTATCGATCGTAGCAAACACAGAAATGGTCACGACAAGGCCAGTTTCAAAGATATTGACCCAAAATTTGGTGTGACAGTAGCTGAGAGTTGTCCCAAACTCAGGCTCTGAGTGCTAACTGATTGTGYGAAGATCTTTATTTAAAACTACCGTTAAATGTTTGAGTCRTCTGTATCTGTCTGTTAGCAAAATATCTCCAGCATCACTGGGCGGATTTTAGTGAAACTCTCAAAACGTAATACWTGGATGTTCAWCTACAACTCATCAACTTTTGAAGTGGACCTGATTTAAGTAGGCCRCCACCGCCCGGTGAAATTAGACAACACAAAACTGTCTGTGTTTCAGTCAAATCCTCAGATACCGAGCTAAAATTTGGTGTGGTAGTAGCTGAGAGTTAATCACAACACATACTCTAAGCACGTAGGGTTATTTTCAAAGTTAGGYCAAAACATTTATAACTCTGTCACATCTCGACACATGATGAGCTGAATTTAAAAAAAGGTGGCAGGGCCTGGGCCTTTAACTCGTCATGGAACAGAAACGCTGGATGGGTTTTAATAACAAATATGAGTCTGTTTCCTTCTTCTGGTTCTGGTCCTGATCAGGGAGGGTGTGTGTGTGTGCACCAGAAACAGACACAACATTTAGGATTACATCAATTCAGCTGGATTTGAATTTTGCAAAGGTTGTATCTTATTGAAAACAAACATTAACACTGTGAGAACAGGCTTAAAAATATACATTACATTACTATTCAAATTGCTCATCCATATCATTTTTTTAAAACAGAAAACCTTAAATCTATATTTTTTTATATAAAAAAAAGACTAAAGGCAGTCGAACATCTTTGGAGGAAAACAGCAGCTTTGAGAATCGATCAACTTTCCCACAGGGGCGACAGAGAATTTGGTTTCTGCAATCAATGATCACTGCAAAGTCCCAGAAAAGCCACATCAGAATGTCAAGATTTATATAAAAATTATAATAATAATAATTCAGACCCAAAAGACCTGCTTTAGCCTACAACCGTGCAGCAGATCCAGGTATTAGTCGGTGACTGGTCCAGTGTGTGAGAGGAARGGGGAGGGGGAGGAGAAGGTGTGGGTTTACTCGCAAACATTGATTTAAATTTGGGCGAGTGACGCCCCATTTTCATTTTTACTTATTTTTCTTTTATTGCATTTTTATTTTCTCACCCAACTCGTAACTTTTTCTCCCCCCCACACACTATTTAGTCCACCTGGCGCCCTAAGCAGAGCGATAACAACCCAGGCAGAGGCAGCGAAGTGCAGAGAACCGTGATGTTTGGGGAGATTTTCCCACAGCAGCGCAGTCCTTCAAAACACATATCCTGGGCTCTGATGGGGGGGAAATAATGACTGAGTTTACTGGGTCATGTGGGTTATTTGATCTTTTATTTGGGGATTAATTTCGCCCTGTGAGGAAGTCAAAGGAAAGGGGTAAAAAGCCGAACGTGAACGCAGTTAAGAAAAAACGTGGGCACAAAGTTGCCGCCGTCGCCAGCCTCGCTCCACTTTTCCTCTAATTTAAGTTTCACCCGGGTGTAAAAACTTGTCAGCKGTGTTTTCAGAAATCCCCACCGAGCGTCAGTCTTACCTGTTGGCCCCTCGATGCCATCGGCGTAGATCTGAACACTTAAAAGCAGCAGAAAGGCGCAGGTGTTCATCGTGAAGGTGTTTTAGTCCACTTTAAAGGAGAAGCAGAAGTCATTTCCTTCGCTCCGTGAGGTCCGCGGAGGGCAGCGGCCGRGCGGATCCCGGCTAGTCCTCCAGTTTAGACGGAATTGAGTTTCGGAGACACTCGGGGAGACGGGGTAGAGCTAGTTCTGCAAACTGACGTCAGGGTAAACAGTTCAGGAGAGAAAATTTTCTTTCCCATGCCCACTTTCCCTCCCCGGGAGCCGCTTCTAGCCTCTAAATGTGAGCCGGGCGCCTCCAAGTGGYCAAACCCTCCTAATCACACCACGGTGTTCAAAAACTGTTTCATCACTCATGCTTTTAAGAATTATTCATATTTTAGAGTTAGTAAACCTTTTTGTGTGCATATTTGCTTATCATAAAAGAGCATTCCAGATTTTTGTAAACTGTGATTCTATAGAAAAGTTATGAGCAGTTAATATCTTACCTGCTGTAGATAGCTCATTGAACAKCCCCGAGGTTACCTCAAATACTTCTTTAAAAGTAAATACTGATATTTTTATGATGCATCTGCACCTCCAGTCACTCAAACCATGTTTTTGATGAGAAAAGTAAAGATTCTCAGTTTGTGGTGTTGTGTACACAAGAGACGGGACCTTTTTGTAAACAAAGACTTAGCCGCCTGTTTCTGTGCATGCCCTCTATCATTTTATTCCCTAGAAACTAAAACACTCATTTCTGTTTTTTGTGTGTCTGTGTCTCTGTCAGGATGGATGAGACGTTTAGGTCGTAGTCTTTATGGAGGTGTGGGTTCAAATCCCCACTTCTGACTGAATATTTTTTATGTGAAATACATCCCTGAAAATACCTTTCTGCTCAGATTGCGCTTCAAAATAACTACAGTAAAATCCTCCTCCAACCAGTCCGTGGCACAGCTGTCTTGKGACCGGAATATTATCGATTCAGTTCCCTATGTGGCAATGTCCTTGAGCAAGGCACCTCTTCCCTAGGTGCTGTGTATCTAGCATGTGATGGGTCAAATGCAGAGAGCAAACTTTGTTTTTGCATAGAAATGCAACAACATAGAGGTATTTTGTCCTGATTCTGTCACCTTTAAATTTTGATTGTGTGCTAAAATAACTGTAAATGGGATCAAGGGTGGTGGGRAAATTAATAAATAATATTCATAAAAAAAACTACAATTGTTTTTTTTTAAATCAAACTTAGAATTTTCTTTAGCTGTTTTGATGTTAAAGTGGAGGTTGTCGCCACCTAGTGGCATTGCTTGGGTATTTCAGGGTTTTTGTCTACATGTGTGGACTTAAAAAATACTGTACATTGCATTCTTAGCACAAAAAGCAGGGAAGTTAGTGTTTGGTGGATTTTTTCTTTGTTGTAACAATGCTTCTTGGCAATAAGTCCTGATTGGCAGCACCTGGAGGTACCAGAAGCTCAAAACAATATCATCTACAATGTCAATACCATCAGAAAAACAAGGCAGAGATTTGGYAATATTTTCAYGTGTGCAACCCACATAGTCACTGCTCATCCCACAACCACATTTTCCATACAAATSTGGCACCATTTAGAAGGGAAAATATGCTTTCTAACAGTAAAAGATTTATWATATGGTGGGTCTTCACGATTCCATAACTCTGCTTTTAAAAAATGTTACAGAGGTTCATGTAAATGTGATTTTATAAAAACTGTCACATCACCATATGTTTTAGGTTGCACGTTTTTTTTCACCTTAGGAATATTATTTTAGTTCGGCCAGAAGTGCAACAGCCAGCTGCTGCTGCTATCAGCGGTWGCAAAATCCCAATAAAGTAATATGTAATAAGCGTGTCGTGTAAAGTAAGCTGTGGTGCACAGGTTTACAAAATAGTGTTTGCGTGAAAAGCAACATTTTTGAGTTTCTTTAAAGGTGGTAGAGATCCACTTTGGTCGTGTCTCTGCTTGGACTAGCCGTTAGCTCATCGGTCCAGTCACAGTTAACCTGTTTCTCCAAACTGAGGTTGGTTAAAGCAGTGATTTTCAAACCTTTAAGCTTCACGAAATAACCCCAGATAATGCCGCTTTACTTATGCAAACTTTGCTAATACCTCTGTTGAACATGTGCAATAGCAATAATTGCAGATACTACTTTTAATCATTATGATTATTGTATTATTTTTTTCAAATAAATATGGTGATAATATCCCATTAGCATTTTTTCTTTTCATTTCAACTGATGTCTGGAAATCATCCCACCCTCACTTGATGTTTAAAGACCCCAACCACTTGTTTGAAGCRTTATCTACAACATGTAAGATAATTATCAATTATAATTTCACAGAACCCCATCTTCAGTTCTGTTTTTAGCACTTTTTCTTAGGTGTAAAACTGTAAGACTGTAGCAAACATTTGAGTTGTTCAGGTAAGACTTGAAGGTCCAAACAAATACGTTAAAATAGTGTGAAACTCAGGCTTCAGCAGGACTAAGAGTGTGGATGTCCTCGTTAGTTCACAGCCACACACTCATAACTCCAGCTTTCAAACTAACAATTGGCTTGTCATGGTTACTTTCAATAACGTGTTAGTTTCATCAAAATAATTGGGATAAACTTTTTTTTTGTCATTTTGGGCCCACTTTATCTTGTAAATACAGTGGGTAAAATAAGTATTGAACATGTCACCATTTTTCTTAGTAAATATATTACTAGAGGTGCTAATGACATGAAATTTTCACCAGATGTCGGTAACAACCCAAGTGATCCAATGAGAAAAATGTTGACGTGTTCAATACTTATTTTACCAGCTGTATAAAAACAAATCAAGAAAAAGCACCAAGCTAAAACCTGCTTGCCCATTATTTAGGACACAGCAGGCAGGTATTGTAAAAATAAACAGCAAAAATGTGTCTCGTCTCATCATTTGCTTCGTGCTGCACCCCACATCTTGTGATGGAAGCCAAAAAAACAAAAAACAACAACAACAACGACAACACAGTGTCTATTCAGGCGTCAGAGCTGCCTAAAATGTCGATGACAGTCTGAAGCAACCCGACACAAATGTTAACACACCGGCACCACCGATGGATTTTCTTCAACACCTCCAAATGTCAGTCATTATAATGACCTTATCACATAATAGGCTGATGATGTAATTACCATGGCAGGCCTAGTTAAATGTCTCCAACCACTCTTGTGTTTATAAATCATATCAGGTGCTCCATACAGGCAGGAATTCTATCTTTAAGTGGGTAAAAAAAGTAATATGTGTTTGGATTTTTTTTTTTTGCTCGTTTGTTGCTGTTTTGCAGCCAATATCAGTTTTCTATATCCTCACAGGACAGACAGGTATGCATGGCTTCATATCTGCTCATGACAGCTGCAGGGCATATTTCTCCATAAATTAGAAGCTCTGACATGTGTGCATTGGATTTGCATTTGATGAGGCTACGAAGAAGAAAAAAAAAACAGCTTATGTTATAGAGTTTTTGACAAACTAGATTRCAGGAATCACTTGTAGGTTTGATGYGGTGTGAAGGAAATTAAAAGCAAACATGGAAAAATGGAATATTTACTGGAAACGACGCTTCTCTGACATATTCTCCAGCTTGTTACCAGCTTTCTCCTACGGTTGTTTGACGGAGCAGACACTTTCCACACAGTGCAAACCTTTTTTTTTTTTTTTACTTATTTTTGCATTTTTTGTTGTATTACCCTTTCCAATTAAACACTTTATTTTTGTGACAAAATACAGAGCAGCTGCTCATTTAATCGTGACTCTTGAATAAACATGTCTCTACTCGGACCATTTTGCAGTTCAGCTCRTTGTTGTCGTGTCGACTTTAAAACTGAGCACTAAATTTAAAAAAAGGTGGCCGAACGGACGCAGCTAATGCTTCCCAACATGAATGCACTCTGCAGACGCTGATGCCGCTCCTGAATTAGCCAYGAATGATGCAAATAATTTAATTTCGTGAAAGGAGCCTGTCAAAATAAAAGCTGTAATTACACCTGCTTGATTCATGGCAGGCACTTTTTGTGTGCAATTGTGTTGAAAAGGCAGTGATTTATTTAAATGAGGGGGGTGGGGGGGAGTGGTTATTTTGGGGCTGGGATGTTGTTCAGCCGGGGCCGCACTTTAATTTGCAGTAATGGGACGTTGCAAAAACACTGTTTGAATCAAACAGCGGGATGTGTCAGCAGAGATGCTGAGAGCCGTGCGGTGATGATAGTCATTTGATCGGGCATTTTATCAGCTGCCAC